CCCCAAGCACCCCCCCCGCCCCGACAAAAAGGGTACTTTTCCATCAGTGAGGCGTGCAACACAAATTGCCGGCGGGAAGTTCACGTGGCTCTTGTGCTTCAAGCTCTGACAGCTCAGTGGCCATCTCTCGCATTGCTGTTGGCCGATTTTGGGCGTGAACTTGTGAAATTTCAGGACTCGCCCCTGGCCGTGCAAAGCGGTCTTCGGCGGCAGGCAGCCACTTGCAGTGCTGCCCTTCAATGAAGATGCGGGCGTGGAGACAGCAGACGTGGCAGCTCACAGCGGCATGGTCTGCATGCTCACTTGAAATTTGAGCAAGGAGCGCGGGCTAGTGAACGGCGCCTTCTGTCGCGTGGTGACACTGCACCCGCGCGGCGCCGAAGTGCAACTGTACCTCTCAGGTAGCTCGCAAGAGACACGGGCGGTTGTGCCGCGGTTCTACTTTGGCCGGCACAGGTCAATGTACCCTGTCATGAGGGCATATGCATGCACGCTGCACAAAGTGCAAGGACGCACGTTGAGACACTGCAGGTGCCTGACCTGGACGGAGTCCCTGGAGCAGGCTACTGTGTTGTGAGTCGTGCGCGGGCTGTGACGGACTTGGTTTGGCTGTACGAGCCAAGGCCACGGTTTTTCACCCCTGCTGTGTGAAAACAAGCTAGTGAACCTGCAAGAGCAGTGGAGCCACACATGTGAAGCTTGCCTTTGTGCCAACAGAACGCAGGTGGGGAAATGCCGGAGAGCAGCAGACGTCTTGAACATGGTGTCTTGACTGTTTCCCGCAGACAAGCTCAAGCAAAAGCACGCAGACGCGACTGAGTGATCGAGCAGCTTCAGTGTCTGGCGACGGATCGCTACGATCTTCAAAAATGGCTCGTGTCTTTGCGGTTTTCGTTTCTCTTTCGACAAACCTAAAGGGAGTCCACCAAAAAAACACCCCCCCTTCTCTACCATCATTTTTGCTTGCATAATTAGGTGGTTCGCAACCTGGAAGCGCACATGTTCGAGGCATTTAGGCCCAAACAACTTGGCTAACCGAAGTGGAGGCAGAAGGAGCTGCCCCTGAAGAGACACCCGAAAAGCTTGTTTCAAAGGGGTCGAAGCCTCAAGATCAGCGGGGCTATCCCTTGCTAAGGTTAGGATAAATCCTGAACGTGCCCCTCATCCCCCTGCTTTGTAGCACAACCCCCACCAAGGCCCACCTGAACTGAACTGCCCCCAGATTGTCCTCTTTGTTTTCTTTGGGTCAAGGTATGTCAGGGAGCGGCGTGGTTTTTGGTTTGTGACTCCTCTTGATTGTTGCCCAAACTGATTTGCCCCCAAAGGCTAGGCGGGCACTGCGCAGAAACGTTCACTTTTGACAGCGCTTGGAAACGTATGTTGACATGTATGTTCGCTTCCCCCCCCCCCCCCTCGCCTAGCCATAAGTACCCCCTTGACACACGCAGTCATACTCTGGCATAGGGCTTAAGAAACACATTCCCTGTAGCTAGGATTCATCCCACGCCGCGGAGAAAGGGCCGCGGAGCTGTCCAGGATTGTGGCGCGCTCTGACAACAAAACCATCGCGCTTACCTAGCGGCTGCGGCTTCTTGACAGGGTTTTTTGCATTCATCAAGGCCGGAGATCCTGCGCCCTGCAAACAAGAAACCTTGCCTTGTGCAGAAACCCTGCACGCAGAAACTGTCGCAATCTCCTGCCGTTTGAGTGCGACGTCATCGGTCGTATGTTTAAGGTCTCACTCGCTTTCCCACAGCGCCGTTTGGGGCCTCTTGCCGGTGTACTTGTGTAAGCTGAGGCCCTCGGACTGCCGTTCTAGATCTCAGCGGAGAGAAGAGCGTGCACAGAGGAGGGGGAACGGTACAGGCGGTGCAGTGGGGATAACAAGTGTGTCCCCTCGGTTCTCAGTTTGCTCGTTTGTTTTTTGTTTGTTTGTTTGTTTGCTTGTTTGTTGCTTGTGTGTTTGTTTGTTAGTTTTTTCCTATTTGCTGGCTTGCCTGCCTGCTTGCTTGCACGCTTGCTCGCTTGCCTGCTTGCCTGCTTGTTTGTGTGTTTGCTGCAATCGCCTGCTTGTGTTTTTGTTTGTTTGCTGGTTGGTCGCTTGCTTGTTTTCTTGCCTGCTTGCTGTTTTGTTCGCTTGCCTGTCTGTTCGTCTGACTGATTGCTTGTTTCTTTGTTTGTTTTTTTGTGCAAGAGGTGGCTACAAGTCTGCTTTTGAAGAAACTATCACTTCGCTTCGCAAGAACATATGACCCCCTGGTTGCTGTAGAGGACAAATGGGAAACCACCCCCGGAACACTTCCAAACCACCAAGCCAAACCACCAATTCGGGGCAAACTGAATTGATGTTGGGCACCTGTCCAGGCCACGATTGTTCGTTGTTTCAACAACCTCCTCACTCAGTCTTCCCTCAAGAGGGCCGAATCGCAACTTTAACTTTGAACCAATTTTGCACTAACTCCAACAGGCCCAACCTTGCTGTTGGGCGTGTTTCTCGGCATAGTGGGCTTTCTTGAGTCCTTGCTATGTTTTTGTTTACCTTGAAAACACTATTTGTGCAAGTTGTTCAAGGTTTATGCTTTTGGTTTTGCCCAACCTTTTTGCAGAGAATTTGCTCGTGGCTTCCCAAGCAATGTGCAAGCGTGGCTTCACTTTCTTCAGGCAAACCCATGAAGACCCTTGGCGCAAAGCAACTTCCCAAGGTTGATGGTTTCCGCCCAACCAACTGTAAGGATTGAAAGGGATGCACAACCACCATATAGCCACTAAACAAGAGGTACACTTTTGGTTTTTTCTGTTTTTTATTCTGGTAGGGGTTTGGAAACCGTTTTGAAGCCTCTAGGGTACCCGGTAGCTTGTCTTGTCTTTTCCAGCCGGGCGCAGGTGTTCAAAGCGTGGTTCCCTGGCAGTTTAGCTGCTATCTGCTAGGGTCTTTCATTTTAATTGTTTGGGACAATGTGTATTTTCCCACTAATCAACGAGCAGAGCAACCTTGTTTTCGTGCAGATGGCACTGGCCACAAAGCACTGTTCTCGCAACTGCGTCTGGTATGTCTAACCAAACATGTACTGTGCGTTCCCTATAAATCTTCAATGCGAGCAGGAGGGGCCAAAAATCGAGGCATTTCGTACACTTGAGGCGTCTGCAACGCAGCCCTCCGTCCTGCGAGCATTGGTCCACCTAATGCGCATGCGTCCATAAGAGCCATAATGCGTTGGAGCTCTTGTTATAGCTATTTGTTGTATTAACAGTATGTATAGCCAACAGGCATGTAGATCCCAGTTGCGACTCTCGTTAAGTTCCTCTTGGCATTTAAAGAGCGGTTCCCTTGGTTACCCTTGACTGCTAGTTGCTTGAATCTTTCATCTTTATATAGCTTGTTGGGGCAAAGTGCTTTCCCAATGATTAACAAACAGATCAACTTGTTGCGCAGGGGTCAGTATCCACAAGTACCGCCAGTCAATTTCTTGGTCTGGACCACTTCACTGGCAAAGTCTGGGCTCGATCAGAAATCAGTACCTCCTATCAAGGCCAGACTCAACTCACCTTATTGTCTCCCTTTGTCTTTTTGGGCTTCCTTATATTTTCCTTGCACCTAGCAACAACAAGTCACAAATTCATTTTGTATCGCAGAGCGATGCCTGAGGAACAGCAACGACGAGGTGCAGTTCGCCAACCTGAGGTGAGGGTCGACATGTCCGGTTTGTCACAAACCACCCCAGTGCATGTACCTCAGCTTTCCGATTGGTGGCTTGAACTAGTAGTTCAAAGGTGTTCCAGGCTGGTTTCCCATTGTTCTGGGACCCGAACAACTCCAAACCACTCGAAACCAGCAAAACGACACACACACACACACACACGCCTATCGCTCAAGTCCCCAGGAAACATACAAAATAGAGATGGACTTACTCCTTAAAAAAGCCGCAGGGGCAGACACAAACAACGCGACTTATAGGTCCTTGGCCAGGGGCCAGCGGCCAGGTACATGCACCCTGCTGACACCGCAGACTTCGATCCCTTTCTGCTGGAAGGATCGGATCCGCTCAAGAGCCTGCGCTCGACGGCCCCGGAGGCACTCGATGGATGAGATGAAGGATGCCTTGCATATCCGGCAGAAACAGGCGATAGATTGTCCACGTACATACCTACCCACCTGCGTATCTACCTACATACATACACGCAAGCATACGTACATACAAACATAGAAACATATACACACACGTACATCTGTGGTCAGAATGGGTTATACAATGTTGTGCTGCGCAGGGGTTCTAATGTTACAAAGCGCATATGGTTGCACATACCCCAGGACATAGAGAAGTGGCTGCAAATGGGTTTCCCAGAAACGTAGCTGGGCAGCAACTGCAGCAAAGTGGGCCTCGTGATGTCCTCCCAAATGGATCACACACTGCTAGAAAGGAAAGTTTGTCCAAACATGACAAAGCATAAACACGTGGATATGGGGTGTAAGGGGTTTGACCAAGCGTCAGTTGGCTTTTGCCCCGAGAAGTGGACCACTCAACCGAGCAGCGCCAACACCCGTTGAGTTAATTTTGCGGAGATTCTTTTAAACTGTTGTATAGGCTTTGGTATCACCTCTATGAATCCAGACAATTAGTAGAGCCACCTAGCTTGGCCCTAAAATGATGGTTGTCCCTTTTGCATTTCTGCCAAGAACCAACCAACAGGGACTTCCCTAAAAAGCCCACCATTCCAAAAACAGCCAGCAGGCTGTTTTGATTGGGGACTCAAGGTGCTGCGGCGCGAGACGAGCGGCGGTGCTGCGGGGGATCTCTGGGGGCTGGGCTGCTTGCTGGGGGACTTCATCTTCCCGCAGGACTTGAGTAAAAGGTAAATGTTTTTTTTGGTGCTTTTGTTTTTTAAGTTGATTGTCTTTTCTACAGGACTTGTTGTTTAGTTCTTTTTGGTGCTGTTCATTGTTCTTGGGGGCTGCAAAAGACAAGGGTTTGACCTTTTAGTGCCCCCTTTAGTCCAGTTTTAGTCACGGCCCCAAAAAGCCGGTTGGCTCACCAGTCTTCGGCTGGAGTAGCGCCCCCAAGGCTGCCTGTTTCTGGGGGGCCCGGCCGTCGCCTGTGATGTTGGCACCGGTGTGTGGCGTGGCTGCGCTACTGCGCTGTGTGAATGCCGATGAGGGAACGACCTTTCTCCCTTCCGTATGTGCATGTTGGTGGACCTATCATAGCAATTCTACAGGTTGAGCTTGAGATCTATGATGGAACAGATGCATGTGGTGCGCGGCAGTGGAAATTACAACGCGGACGGCTTTCAGTCTTGACATTGATGGTGCTGGGATGGTGTGGAGACAGGCCTTACAGTCTTGTAACCAGGTCCCTGTTCCGCCGTGTGGCCGAAGAGTGAGTGTGATGTCGGATGAGTCAGTGGCTACGCAATGCACGTACCATACACGTGCCTGCGATAAGCACACCCGCTCAAGTGCACCCGCTCAGCACTGCAGCCACGCACGCGCAAGAGGAAGCGCATCTGCTCGAGCGCACCCGCTCCGCACTGCATCCACGCACGCGAAAGAGGAAGCGCACCTGCTCAAGCGCACCTGCTCAGCACTGCATCCATGCGTGCGGGGGGGGTGGGGGGCCGCTCAAGTGCACCCGCTCAGCACTGCATCCATGCACGCGAAAGAGGAGGAAGCGCGCCTGCTCAAGCGCACCCGCTCAGCACTGCATCCACGCATGCGGGGGGGGCGGGGGGGTGGGGGGGGACGGGACTGCATCCACGCACGCGAAAGAGGAAGCGCACCTGCTCAAGCGCACCCGCGCCCACCATAGGCCTCGCGACATGAATCGACGTGCCGCCTGATATCGCAGGCGTGCTCACAGCCTCCGCGAGGATCGACTGCGCGTTTTCTGCCGCTACCTCCTGCAGGCGCGCGATGTCCTCGCACAAGCATGCGCGTGCCAATTTAGCGCGCGGGCGCAGCTTTTGGAGCGTCGGCGCACGCAGCGGCTCGACATGACCACGTGAGAGCTCCAAGTCACTCAAAATAGTGCGCCTGCCACGAAATCCAGTTCCAGGAAGGACCTGGCTTCCTTGTGGGCGGAAGGGGGGGTTGGAGGGGGGGGGGGCGGGGTGTGTTGTCTTCCTCGGTGTCCAGGCCGTTGGGACTGGGCCCGTGGTGGGCCGGTGTGTGAACTCAGGGGTCGCCTATGTGGCGCGATCGTTAATGGCACACTGGCTCCTCACCAGGATGTGGTGTCTGTGCTTTTCCATTTTATTTTGGCAGCTTGCCTTGCACGAAGAATGTTTGCCTTCTCCGGGCTCTTCTGTGTTGGGTTTGTCTTAGTCGATGTGTGGGGTGGCACCCAGCATGCGACCACTCTGCGTGCGGCGTCTCACTCGAACCCGCTCACCTGTCGAAGTCATGGCCCCAAAAAAATAAAACTCTCATGCTGATGCAGTAGGTACAGAAACACTCAGGGTGTGGGAATGAACCTACAGATTTTCTTGACAGAAATCATAGACGGTTTATAGCATCATTCCCTCCCAAGAACCAGGAAGCTTTTTTGTTCAGGTTGTTTGCGCAAATGAGAGGACCTTGCAGTTTGCTTGCCCGTGAATCGACTTGAAGTGATCTTTTAGTGTCTCCTGTTTGGTGGCCCAACTGTTTTCCTTGCTTGTTGCTTCCTGTCAAAACCAATCTGAAAAGGGTAGACCCGCAAAAGGCAGGCACCCAAATACGCCAAGTTCGGGTTGAGGGTGCCATTTTCTGTGATACCAAGGGACAAGTTAAATTTGGAGGCAGCCTTATGAACCCTTTCAGGCGCCCCTCAATTTATTGAGAGCAAATTAGGAACTGCCCCCTAACTTCCAAACCAAACCATGCTGACTTACGTTGGTTCATGACCGTGATCAACATCCTGTATGCTCTGATCATGGCTGTGAGCAACAGTCAATACCTATTGCTGGAAAAGGGCAGTGGCGTTGCACACACCCAACCAAATTCCCAAAAGAAAAACGGATGTGAGTTGGAGGCACGACACATGTTCTTAAATAACGGGACCCGAATCATGGTTGTCCTTGTGGTTTCCCCTTAAACCCACCCGCGGTTCTGCACAGAGACACACCCAGATTGACCGTGGCCTGGCCTCGCAGACTCCCGCGGGGCAGCCGGCGGAGTACCTTGAGCGCAAAGTGCCGGCCAGCTGTGAGGCGTGCAAAGGTAGCCAAAAGCTAATGGAACCACATGGCACTATGTCCCCCAGTAGTGCCCTTCTCTCCTCTTTTTGGGAAAGGGTTCCCCTACTCATACCCTTATTCTAGCCTCTCTACTAAAAGCCTAGTTTGAAAACCCGAAAAGATGCCGGTGCAGTAGCAGTCCATGGCCTTGGAAGTCGCTGAACCTGGTTTTGGGCTAGACCCTCTGGGGCTAACTAGCCCCAAAACCACACCAAAAGGGTATGGGCAGTTGTTTGACACACTCGCGGGTATTTGGGTGTGGAAAGGCACATGACAAGCACATCTGGCTCTTTGTGCTTGAGCAGGGGCGCTGTGGAAGAATGAATTCCTCCCCGCGTTTTCTGTAGCAGAGTCTTCATCGATCCGCGGCATGTCCCCCCAAAAGGAACATCAAACGGAATAGTGGGCAGAGTGTTTGAGCAAGCTATGCCCATAGGCCCAAGTACCTCATACTTTCGAGTTTTGACAACTGGACCAATTCCCAGGTGTCCTTCAACCAAACCCACAACCGCAAAAACGTGGAGCACTTGTACGTGTTCCAGAATTTGCCACAGAAACTAGTTTCAACACGAGCTTAAATCATGGGGGGCTATGAAGAGGGCTATCCCTGATTTAGCCCTCAATAAGGCCTTATTAAGGGCTTATCCTTGGGTTTTTTTGGGCTTATCCAGGGATGGCCCCCCCCCCCTAGGCCCTAAACCCCCCGAAGATTCCATGATTAAACATGAATCCGGCTACTTGAGGATTTCATAATCATAATTCAGGTGTAACTTCTAGTAGTTAGGCCCGATAGCAGAAAAATCGAGCCATTTTCGATGTCCAGCTGTGTGCCACGCATTGGTCGGGCTTACTTCCTGAGCTCCCCTTCCACTTTCGTCACTTGGGTTTGGTTGCCATTTTAGTCACTTCCATGACCATTCCGTTACTTTTTTGGGTTTGAGTGCTTTGAACAAGCCAGCTTTTGGGGTGGTTTGGGAGCGCTGGCCCATCCACGCATGGGTAATGTTGACCCCGGATGAATGAACTGTGTATTCATAGTAGGGGTGTTCCCCTCCAAAAGTGATGACTTCCCACGAAAACCGAAACCAGGGACACCCCCATATTAATAAACAGGGGGTTTATGAATCCGGCCTCCACCAGGCCCAGGGCTGCTGGCTGCGCCGGCTGCTGGCAGAGGCTCCAGCTGAGAGGGGCCAAGCCGCGGAGGTGCTCCATGCAGAGTGGCACCTTGGAGGAGAAGTCAGAACCGAATCTTCCGAAAACTTGGTGGCTCCCAGCCATCCGGCTGCTTAGCCTCTTAGCCTTTTAGTGTTTAGTGGTACTTTCCATTTCAGCCCCTAAAAGTTAAACTTTTAGTAGAACATCTAAGGGTGGCCCAAAAAATATGTCCGAAAATCCTAAGTACTGTTCAACAAGTACTGGTTTGGGGGGGCTGGAAGGAAACGCAGTTTGTTTCAGCCGAAGCCGTTGGCGTCTTGGCCCTTTTTGGGCTTGGTTCCGGAAAAGTCCCCGGGGTTGCTGCCAACTGGGCTTATGTATTTCTTGCCCGACAGCGTGGGGTGCTTCGATTTGAAGTGACATCAGATCATTGCCCACCCGCCGCATGACAGCAGAGAGTGCCTAGTTCGACAGCTACGACAAAGTGGCCTGACCATCATGTCTGAAATATCCGCGACGGACAGCCGTGACAGTCCCAAGCCTGACAGGCCGAAGCTTGAGGCTCCCGCCAGTGGCTGGACCGGGACAGATGTGAAGGCTGTGACACCAGTTCCTGCCGCCATAGATTTTCTTGAGAATTGGCGATGCCTTTGATGTCGGAGCAGAGCGCAACTGGGTGGCTGCAGCGGAGTTTCGCATGTTTGGAGGTAGCGCGCT